GTATCCTTGATACCCTAAACTCCTAAACTCTAAGAACCTCCTATAGCAGTGGTTCGGGCAGAGAAACCGAGTGTTAGGTGAAAGAGTTTAAGGTTTAGGGTCTAGGGTATTACAGTCCTAAGACGCAACGAGCTACACAGAGACTGCCTGCGGGCTGTCTTTGACCTTGACGTGGAGGGCAGCAATGCTCGTGCCAGGGGATCTCCATGTTGGAATTGAGCAATGGGAGCAAGTGTACCTTTGTTGTTGGCTCTGGGCAACCAAGATAAGAAACCTCGGATCCTGAAACAGCAAGTGACTAACATCAGGTTGCCTGCGCAGTATTCCTACGGGCTGCCACTTATTCGTATTCCGATTCTCATCCCAACTAGTTTAAACTACAGTATAATACACCCCTACTACCCTAAGGCCCTAAACTTCAAACCAAAACTCTGGACCTTAACACCCTAAGGCCCTAAACTCAAAATCAAAACCCTGAACCGAAAGCCTAAACCGTAAACCCTAAACCAAAACCCTAAACCCTGAATCAGTGAACACCGAAGCTCCCAGAGCCCGGAGCCTTCATACTCCCAAGGGCCTAGGGTTTAGGGTTTGGCGTTTTAGGGCTTTAGGGTTTAGGGTTTAGGTTTTGGGGTTTTGGGTTTTGGGTTTACGGTTTAGGGGTAAGGGTTTAGGCTTTAGGGTATAGGATTTGGGGTTTAGGGTTTAGGGTTTAGGGCCTAAGCCCGATACCTTCACAACCGAAAACCTCAAGCCATCAAGCCGTAAACGAAGAAGCCGGAAAAGCACTGTAAAACATAAGCCATCATAAACCCAACTAGTAATCATGTCCATTGCAAGAACCGCAACAACGACAATACTCGCGTTATGAACTGTGCTATTGCTAAACAAGTCATTGTAACAATGGTAACAATAGGCAGAAACAGCCAAAACGGTAACGACAACAACAACAACAACATTCAGAACCGTCGTAGTAACAACAGCGGCAATAACAACAATACGAGTCACAGCAAGCATTATCAAAGCAAGACTTGAATCTTCCTCATTGATCATTCCTATCGAAGTCGTACAGCCACCTCAAATCCTAGACGTCCTAAACCCTGAACCCCAAATCCTAAACCCTAAACTCCAAAACCCTAAACCCCAAAATCCTAAACCCTAAACCCCTAAACCCTAAACCCTCTTGGCTGAGGCCATGCCCGGACAAGTCGAGCAAAGCATTCCGCTCGCACGGCTTTAGCGACGCAGCGCCTCAGGAGCTTCGTGCTTGGGGTTTAGGGTTTTAGCTAGGGTTTAGGGCTTTGGGTTTAGGGTTTGGGGTTTAGGGTTTAGGGTTTAGGGCTTTGGGTTTAGGGTTTGGGGTTTAGGGTTTAGGGTTTGGGGTGTGTAGGGTTTGGGGTTTGGGGT